TTTATGGGTTATGATTTATTGGCGACAAATATCAAACAAGGCATTAATGAGCATGCATGGGATTTATTGGTGCACCTCGATCCGCTTTGTGGCTTCATTTGACTGTATCGATCTGCTGTTGTAATGCATGTAGGATTACTGGCCGGGCACTTAGGAAAAGATCTAATGGGTCCAACATAATGTACAGCCGGTTGGAAAAGATCATGCACCGTGTTTGCCTAATAAAATGCTGTGTTTGACTGCTCGTGGCAGTAATTCCTTTATTATAGGAGTCGTGATATCCAGGGGTGGACGAGTAATGTGCAGAGGGGGTTTGGGTTCCTTCCCACTGTTGCAGACTGCTTTGGACTGCTGAAGCTCACAAGGAATCCAGATGTTTGGATTGTTGGGTTTCTGCCTTTGTGAAGCGCTATGAGATGACTTGTTGTTGTAAATATGCACTATACAAATAAAACTGAATTGAATTGAATTAAGTGAAGAGGAAAGTACAGGGAACACAAATCATATATGTCCATGTAAGACTCAGTTTAAAATTAAACTTTCTGCAAACCCCAAGAATGCAGAGGTGATTGAAACCAGCAGATTTATGTGTCCCTTCAGCGCACCATTACCTGAAACCTCATGAGGACATTTTTGTCCTTTTCTTTATTGATTTTTACATAATTTTATGGAAAAATAGTGTTGTGGGAATTTAGAAATTTTCACCGTAGCCCCTGTAATACATTAGTAATACATCGTGTAAGCAAAAGTTTTACTGTCAGGACATTAAAGACAAAAATGGCCCCATTGAAACCCATGATACCTGTTGGTTTACATCCCTCTGCCATCATGAAATCATGCTTTCTGTGTTATTAGTGTTTTATTCTGGAGCTTTGTCATTGTTAGTGTTTTCCACTAAACTGTGTCATTTTTTAAATATCAGGCCTGTGGATATGTTTTGTTGCTTCCTGCAAGCCGATAGAAAAAAAAGTCTACAAGTGAAATGGTTTGGGAGTATTGACGGGATGTCACCGTGGATTGTGTGTGTTTATTGAAAAATGTGTGTGTGTTTGTGTATGTGTTCATTTTAGTTACATATTTCTGGTTAATAAAGCACAAAGCGAAAAAAAACAAAGCCTGTATTTACTCCATGAACCGAACACAAAAAAAAGACACAATCTCATGGAGTGAAAATGACAATTTTGAAGCCAAAGCTCCAGAATAAAAGTCTGAT